GACTCACGACGTCGATGCCAGTGGTAGCTTTTGATCCAACGACCTTGCGGCGTCGACTGTTTGACGGCGGAGTCGATGCATTTGATTATGACCGATGACGTTAGTGGAATGCAATTTTTATCAATAGCATTGGTATAGCTAATCCTTCACACATTTGCACGTGGCTGAATCGCTTGATTTTCCTTGAAAATGACCAATGAAGTGGTGAAAACTTGTTTGTTTAGGGTTCAGGTAGCCGTAACTTCCTCATGGTTATACACCGGATCCTTATAAGAGTCACAGAGTTGTGAACTCGGGAGGTGTTCACTCCAGACTTTTCATTTCACCGCTTCCTTGATTACGTATCCAATAAGTGGTGGCACGTAGATCTTCTCGCCTTATGTTTGTCTAAGGCCGTTGGGCTAGCGGTAACGAGATCCGAACGCCACGTTAATAAGCCGTGCTTGGCTCTTTTTGATAGGCGATACGATTTGGGCGGTGACTGCTGCCCCGTTCAGTTGAAGGAAAGCAACAGAGCAAACTTCTGTGCCTGGTGAACTATCGCTATAACAGGAGATTTTTCAGGCGAGAAGATGGGTCTGACGATGAACGTTTTGCTGTCCATCAATGTGTTCTTACTTCTGGTCTCGAAGATTCTGCCGCCGACGTCGTTGTCGATTCCTCTCGTCGCTAAATATCTCCTGCTCACTTTTGTGCTCAACATCATAACCATTCTGATCACTGTCGTCATCTGTAACATTTACTTCCGATCTCCTATCACGCATCGCTTGCCGCCATGGGTTCGAAGTGTCTTTTTGGATGTAAGTGTGGTTAAGCAGTAATGTCATAGTTACCTTCAGGAACTGGGAATTTTTGAGAACAAGGGAAATACTGAACGCTGTAATTTCCAGTGGTTACCACTTCTGATGTGCATGCAGCGGCCAGGGCGTAAGGACGTCTTGCATCAGAAGAAGAAGAAGTTGGAGACGAAATCCAGCCAGCACCTGACAACACCGAATCACCATCCCCACTGCAAGGTCGCTGACACTGTTCGGTAAGCTTCTTGCTACATTTACACGGAACTTTCCATTTTTTCGAGCCATGGTAATATCGGAATGGAATTTCAATTTTCACTGGGGTTTTCTGGATGCGGCTGACGTTAGCAAAACCACCCAGTAGTGCAGCTGGTACCATCTGTAGTGCGTTACAGCAGAGTGGATTCAGAATAGCTCATTTTCGGGTTTGAAGAGTACTCCGGACTCCATGACAAATCTGCTGCAATTTCTCGATCAGCTTCTGAAGCATACGTGCGGGTTTGAGTTGTTTTAAAGAAGGCGAGGGCAGGGGGTGGGGGGAGGGGGAGGTCTCGGTAGTGTAAGGGATAAAGTCACGGTGCTTGGAACCCGCAAGTACAGGTTCGAATCCCGTTTAAGGACGAAATTCCGCTCACAAATCGGCATCTTTGTGATCAATTCTATTTTTCTAACATTATGGCTACTTTCATCAAAGCTTTCCTCCTGATCAACCAAAGGAACCAATGCCTTTGAGCCTACAAAAAAAAGTTCCTAAAAAAAGCTTGAAAATGAGTGACTGCTGCCATTTGTGTTTATAACAAGGGGAACATTTTTTGATTGCAAAACCTAGCGGAAAGTACTCTTTGCCTACTCAAGAGAAGGAACTCGTCAAGAAATTTTTGATTGGAGTTGAAAAATATAAAGATCATCTCGGTAATTGTGGATAACCTATGAATCCAAAAAGAACTCCAGGAAGTCTCCTGTAAGATCGGCAAATCACTCTATTCATTCATGTTTGCTATGGGTGTGCTCACAGTTGTTATTCCCTCACTTCCTTCATCTTTCGTACCACGTTACACAGTATTCCTTTCTTTCCAGAGATGGCGCTCCACTGATTCGAATAAGCCATCCGTCTTGCGAAGATCTTTCCCCTGATGCTCAGCGAGCCGTTGATGCTATCGAATTCATCACAGAAAACATGAAGGACGACGAAACCACGAAACAGGTCTACTTTCTGAAATTTTCAAAACTTATTGTCATAGAGACCTTTGAATTATTTCTTATCAAATATATTAGGCGTTTCAGAAAGTTCTGTCGTTTTTTGACGCTCAACTTTCAATGCACATATCTCGGCTCAAACAAAGCTTTATCAATCGGAAAGAAATTATTATATACACACTTTTGCCAACGAGTAACAAGTTTGCCTATCCTGGTTGCGTAGAACTCTGGAGATCTACAGGGTGCGCCATAAGTATGGTAACAAAATAATTGCTCTGCAGAAACCGCAATATATATTGATACATGGTGAATTCATGTGAGTTATTTACTATGTATCACACCTACAAAACGAACACACGATCATCTTGTATAATCGTCTTCTGCACTAACTATAGCTCGAAGACGCTTCGGGTACTCATCGGCGATTACACGCAGAGTTGCTTGAGGAACTCCAGCCCGGGCTTTTTTCTATTGTTTCTCAGGAGTAGCAACTGTGGTGTGTTATGAAGCGAAGGCACCCCTCTCCAAAATGGATTATATCCAGCGGCCCATCAAATTGTGGTCCGGGAAATCCGTAGGAGGATTGGAAGCTGGGATAAAGCGCGAAAGTTTCCTCAGCACCAGTCTTGATCTTTCTCCATTCGTGTGCAGGTGCTCCATAGTTTTCGAATCGTGTCGCTAAGAAAATCTTTAACCCTCAGCTGCATCCTTTCAGAAAGACCCTTTTCAAGGAGGTTCGGGTAAAATTTAGTTTTTTTTTCTCGACCAAAATTTGCGATATCGCTCTGGTGGTAGAGATTCTAGCCCAAACCATCGTAAAAGAGGGAAAATGGCTACGAGGCGATCTGATCAGCGGCCTCAGTACTCGTGTTGGGAATAATACGCACGGCATTTGTTTTTTCTTTCCAATTTCTTCCCTCTATGAAACCTATAAGGCCTTTGAATCATGTTGAGATACAATTATATTTACTCTGGATAGACTCTCCCCATCGGATTGGAACATATAAACAAATCAACAGCCATTTTTCTTGTGCTTCTGCAGGTTCCGCAGCGTACTCCTTCTCAAGCAATTGTATCCGGAAAAGGGGTCGTAGACAAGACGACCGTCTTGAGGTTTGATGCTTACCTGTCTATGCAACGCGATACAAGAGACTGTCATGTGGAAAGTGTTGGGAGAGGAACGAACCCGGTAAAAGACTCACCAAATGCGCGCAAAGACGGAGCGGTCGGTGGATGTCTGCGAGGCTCCACCGTTTTTCGAAATCCGACGAATTGAGAGTTCTGAAGTCAATATGTGGGCTAAGGTATATTATAAACATAAGGAGAGGTGCAGTTTTGGAAAAACCCTCCAAACAAAGAAATTACGGACGTCCGAAAAGTTGTTACCATATCTATGGCGTACCCTGTAACTACGCACGACCAAAGCATCGAATCCCTGATCGTTAGGCCAAGAAGATTCCCATCTTTCGGGATCGATTAAGGGATACCCGATTCATATGGGAGGGCAAGAGCCCCGAATTGTCCTTTGCTAGGCCACTGCAGATATTTGTTTAGGCCACAACGTTATGTTAATTACTTACGTTAAGTAGCGACACAGAAAGAGGAAAATCTCTCCTGAAATGTCTAATTATTACTCCTTCAGTATCGGGACGACTGGAAGTACATAGCGATGGTAGTGGATCGTATACTACTCTATGGCTTCTTTGGAATCACCCTAGGAGGGACAATTGGTGATGTTAAACCTACATGTTGTTTTTAGTGTCTGATGATCCTGTATTCTGTCATACTGCAGGTGATGTGCTATCATGTTTCAGGGATTTTATTCTCAGCACCAACAATTTTCGAACGAGTCGACGAAAAGAAACATCTGCAAAAGCTCATTCAACTCTATAAACAAGGCCTACTCGATAACGACACTTTTACGTCGCTATACTGATCGCTACCCTGCCCGCAGTATTCTCGGCGTCCAGAACTCAACTCCCATAATCCAAAATCGTTTGTTAGAAATTAGGAAGTGTATTAGCAGCCAATTTAGGTCTGTGTATTACGGTGTTTTTGAGTTCTGAGGAGTTCTCTAACGCCCGTAATTACGACATATATTGTAATCATTGATAGGCAGAATAGGGCCGGTTGGACGTCTCTGGATGAACTAGAGCTGATCACTTTTGCATAGGTTCGAGCTAGCTTTTGATGCCAAAACTTCTTCTCGAGCGGACCGTGTATTCGAAAAATTGCGTCGGACTTGTTAGACAATGCAAATGGGTACAGTTCATCATGCTCAGTCCATTTCACGGTTATGTTTGTAACTGGTTCCTGCAGTAGTACTCCACGTTGCAAAACCTTGGTCCATCGGGTCTTCATTAACTGTGCTGACTCAGAATTATTAGGTTGTCCAAAAAATATCTACCGAAGATGCGATATGACCCGGCTTCCTTTCTGATTTTCTGCAAGCTTCTTTCTAGACGATACATGAGAGGCACTACTCGCTTGTGTGCTTATACATATCGGGAAATTTCAGATATAACAATCGGCTGAAGAAGATTGAAGTTCATTTTCGACCTTCCTGTTTCAGGCTGTAAAACTTTGAAATGAAGTATGCACAGAGCCACTCAGGAGGGGGAACTGCTTGACTCGAGTGTCAACGGGCTTTAGCAACGGAAAGGAGGGATTTGAACTTGTAAAGAAGTAAATGTTGACTATTGATAGACAGTTTCCGCGTTATTTGGTTAGATAAGAAAGGAGGAGATAGCCGGTATATTATGCGTAAATGCTTGGGTAGCGTACCTACATAATACTCCAAGAGAGCTTCTGGGAAAAAGTTGTTTTGGTGCAAAATCTTGCCGGATCTTTTCCGCAAAACCTNACTCGAGTGTCGATGGGCTTTAGCAATGGAATGGAGACATTCGAACTTGTAAAGAAGTAAATGTTGACTATTGATAGACAGTTTCTGCGTTATTTGGTTAGATAAGGAAGGAGGAGATAGCCGGTATATTATGCGTAAATGCTTGGGTAGCGTCCCTACATAATACTTCAAGGGAGCTTCTGGGAAAAAGTTGTTTTGGTGCAAAATCTTGCCGGATCTTTTCCGCAAAACCTAATATTTTGCTGACATGGATATATGTTACGACGTGAAACGTATAGGTTCCATGGGCATCGCCGAAAATGTAGTAGAATTTTTTAACAAGGAGAGTGAATTTTAGTAAGTTTAGGTTAATAGCGTCGTAAAAATTGAACATGACTACACCTCGGATTAAAAGCATGAGCTGTTTTGTTAACGAAAGCAGGGGGAGACAATAAAATCTAGGTTAGCCTTGGTTGACCCTGTCGTAGATGAGCTTTCGGTTCCCAGTAGGCCTGTCTTACAAATGCCAGTGAGAAAGAGATCGAATTCTAAGTCAAATTCATCTTTTTTAAGCAGGGTTTTTAGTGGTTGCGAAAAATTGGTAGATTAGCCCTGTGTGTGAAATTTCTCCGATGAAGAATGACCTTTTTCAGTGAAAGGACGGCAGTCTTTTATGCATTAAAAAGGGCTAGGTAGGAGAGGCATTTTATTCTCGGCATCTCCTGATCACCTTTCCAGCTGCTTGTAAAGCTGCCTCCTGTTCATTATTCAGGTTTGGCTGCTCAGGGTTTCAGTTCCTTTTTTCTGGAAAGTCAGAATCGGGTCCCAGGACTCGTTGTCAACTAGCCGCGGAATAGTTTTCTGGTATGCGCCTTGACCAACTTCCTAGGTTGTGGCCACTGTACCCCGATCTCCTCCTCAGAAGTAGGGGATAATAGCAATGCTTCGTCATAAATATGGAACTCTTGCATTACAAGTAACGCTGTCCCGGATATGGGACTACTTGATCGTTCCGTGCTCTCTTGTTCGCTCATTCGTTCGTTCGTTTCTTTTCGTTCAATTTCAGCTTCGTTCGACTTTTGCATAATATAATTGTTATACCTTATCATTATAAAACAACTTCAGTTACTCAGCTCCACTCCCGATGTTCCCGATGTGTTGTACAAAGCCGTGAGAATATGGAAGATCAGCCGCCCTGACTATCTTTACTAATGTCCTCATCTTATTCTCATTTATTTTTTTCACCAGCATATTGCCGACCTTAGTAATCCTCCATTTCGGCTAGTTACCATCTCAATCTATTTTTTTGTTGTAAGAACATGCGGGGCCTCTCGAGACAATGGGTGGTTCAGTTCATTTTCTGTGGCGGAATAAAAACTTTCCTAAGAAAATAAAAACTTTTTTCAGGATCGGGTGGAATTCAACAGTTTCATGCTTTTTGCTGGGTTTTGTATGCGCTCAGCATTGCCAGTTCCCTTCCATGGATCCATGTTCACATCCATTTCTCGACATTCTCAACCGTCTTAATATCGGAAAAGCAAACCCTTGGGGGCTAAACCATGCTCTGGTTCCCACATTTTACCCGGTGTTTCCTCCATTCAATTAGTCTTTGATAGTTCCCTCAGCTTCGCTGTCTGTAACACCTTTTCAATGCTGCTCCTTGAAAATCTGTATTCTCCCTCTTCAGACCAGCAAGTTTACAAGAAATGATTGTTATCCTTCCAAGGATTCGTCGACCACTTGTTCTGACTACAGAACTTGGGCGAAGGTTTTGCACCTCCCAAATCGGACTTATTTCTGAGTTGTAGAACACTTTTGCATTGTACTGTATTGTTGTTGTATTGGTAGGTCTTGATGAACTTATTGACCGACGTGTTTAAAGTATCGTTGTGCCTTGAAATGCTGTGAAATAAAGAAACTTTTTTTTAAACATTTCTAATTAGATTCCATCGCCGGGATGATGTCGGACGCTGAAGACCGTCTGATGGTCGACCTCTTTCGCGGCTACAACTCCCTCGTACAGCCGGTTCGCAACAAAACCGAACTGCCGATGATCATCAAAATCGCCATGCAGCTCGTTTTGCTCATCAATGTGGTATGTGACATTCCCTGATGGTTTCTATCCAAATGTAAATAATTCCCTATTCCAGGACGAGAAAGAGCAGGTGATGCACACGAATGTATGGCTTACATTGGTGAGTTGGTATTTCTGAAGCAGCCTTTTCTTTAACCTGGTCCTGATTTGACTAGATTTTCGCTATGACTAAATGCGTTGCTTTATATTTTAAGTTCTACTCAAAAAATTGAGTTTTTTTTTGGCGCTGGCTTCATTGATGGCAAATAATGCTCATTCGTACAGCTTACTCTCTTTTTTCTTTTTTTGTAACTGTTCGAGAGTTAAGTTGAAGAGAGGCAGAACTCGGCATGTTTCTACTAACCAAACCTGAAAAAAAACTCGATAAGCCCTCTAAAAGATCTTCGTCCCCAACGACCACAACAGAAAAGCTGCAGGTAGCCTTCCATGTAGGTAGCTCATAGGACTCGACCCGCTCAATTTACTGAAACTTTGCCCGAATCGACTGAATGGCTGAGGACGCGTTGATTATCCTCATGTTGTTTGGTTAGTACAAAGGGTAACTTGAAGTTCTGGGAGGCAACGAACAGTTAAGGCATGGATCATTGGGATTAACCCCGTTCAGCTCTTCTGCTTTGTGCTTCACCAGTTGGGCTACGCTTACTAACACATCCAGCAAAGGACGCTTTAAACAAGCTACGAGTTTTTTTCCGATTCAAGCTTCACTTCTAGCTCTTTGAGAACGCCCCGCCCACCACGGATCACGTCCGCCTGATTTGTTGACTCATTCCTCACTTTTTCCCAGTTTATCATGCGTTTGGGCTTTTTTGAGCTAAATTGGGAATTTTCGCACTTGGCAACGTCGATTTCGTTTGTGTGACACCCCATGTGGGCAGGCTTCCATTCAACTGATACGTGCTCAGTTGATCTTGCCAACGGCCCCACCCATCCCAAACTTGACAAGACCTCTTCAAGTGTCTTTCAAGATTTCCCAGGTTTCATGACAGACAGACGCCAGCGCGTTATATATAGTATTTGAATATTGTAAGGATTTGTCTATTAGTATCATTGAGGAAGCATTTTTGCAATAAAAATAAGTTCAGAGATGGCAAGATTTTCAAATGCGATGGGACCCAAAGGACTATGACGGAATAACCCAAATACGCGTGGCGCCCGACAAAATTTGGTTACCGGACATTGTGCTATTCAATAAGTAAGCTAATTTCTTGGTTCTGCTTGAATCGTCAAACTTACATCTTACCAGGACGGTAGAGTGCTCGGCTGATGCCAGTAAATAAAAGTCGATCTTGTAAAATAGCAGTGTTCGTCTAGCTGATAGCTGAAAATATACGAGGTTCCGTAGGCAAATTCTCAGTCATTCCCTGATTGAGAACCCCGAACGTTTATATGATACTACCCAAACAAGGTTACTGTTGTTGAAAGTCCCCGCGACTAGTCCCATGATATGTTCAGTGGAGAACATCTTTTGCATTTTCGAAAATATCGAATTTAAAGGAACCAGTCGACTTATCTGGAGTAGTCACGCAATAGGATTAGTCGTGACGCTTGGATTACTCTGGCGATCTTGCTGTAAGAATATATATATCATACCGGACAACGGCGTTTTGTTAGGTTGTTTGGAAAGAAATACGCGTTGAATTCGTCCATTTATTTCTCTCCTGCTATTGAAGATTTTTCAAAACAGTCTTGTCTATTAGAAAAAGAATTCTAGTGTGCATTTTTTGATATATTTTTGTCTGGGTCTACTTTTTTTTTTTTGAAAAAAAAGTTGAGGAAATACTTGAACAAAAATTCCGAAGCTTGCATGTGGTTCGACTTCGAACAAGGCAAATCGGCTGTTGAATCTCATCATGCCATATCTGAGGTATTCGTATGTAGTGGTGATTAGACGTATGACAGTGGTTGGATGCCAATGACACTACAAAACTTCCTCCGAAACCGTATATACACGGCAAAGAGGCGATACTCTGTCTTTGGTGCAGCAAAGATTTGATGTACTTCGAAGTTCTGGATTCGGATCAAACAGTTACGGCAGACATCTATACAAAGATCAATTGAACCCATGTGGAGCACAAGTGTCGAAACGACGTCGGCAAAATTCCTCCCCGTCAACGCTCGTCCATATCTCGCGAAAATCACTATGGAAGAAATTGAGAAATGGGGCTGGGAAGTCCTGCCTTATTCGCTATACAGCCCAGACCTGGAACCATCCGATTGCCATCTGTTCGGGTCGATGCAGCGCTCTCTGGCCAAGAGAAATTTCACAAACCGGCTCAAAACAGAGGATGGGAAGTTCTCCAGTCAGGGGTGCAGGAGAAGAAAAAAATTAACCGAAGCAGAAGTGCACTACAGAAGGTTCAGATAGTTAATAAGAGGTGTATGGTAGTTGAAGAGCATCCACTTTTGATTTCAGTTGGCAAATGACGCTAGGGATAACGTCACACGCAGACAGACAGAATTTTCGGATGTTAGGTATTATAAAGAAATGTTTCAAACTTGAACGCGCATTCCTTTCCGAATAACCTAATACACTAAAGGGAATCGATCCTCCTGATGGTCCTTTTCGGTGCCAAAAAGCATTGAAAATTTTCTCAGACCCGATTTTTAGACCGAACGTTAAGAAGCACAAGGTCACTTGTGTTGTTTATTCACGACTGATGTTCACGCACCCGCTCCCCTTCAACAGTTTTGCAAACCCACTATATCACTGGAATCACATCGTCTATTAATATCGTGTAGTGATTACGATAATACTCGATGGTTGAGTGGTATCCAACCAAGCAGGTTGCATAAGATGAACTCTGTTACTCTACCTCGTATTGAGGGTTTTCCACCAACAAGCTCCCTCTTTCGTGCACCTTTGAGGAGCTAGCACGACTTTATGGTTTAGATTTTCCTACTTACATATGAACCACTCGAACGAGTTATCTCCAAGATTCTTTGAATCTCAGCCCGCAATCCCATGCTTTTTTTCAATTACAGAATTCCTTATAATTTTCGACCCCAGCCAATAATGGGTGAATACCGTTACCATAGCATCGTTACCGACTGCACAAGACTACTACTTTTATCTACACATCAGGACCTTCTACAAAGCGAGACACTCCTCCCACTCCTCCCGACACTTCCATGAAAAACTGACACCGCTGTTTCGATCTTTGCCCACATGAACCCTTTTGATGACCGAGAGCTTTCTGACTCTCAACCCACCAAACTCATGTTAATCTTCCTTTATTGAGCTTAAGCCTAGAAAATCATCGGTCTTTGTGGTGAAGATCTGAATTTCAGTGCTGACGGGAACTACGAAGTGTCCTTCATGTGTAATGCGCTTATTCATCATTCGGGTGAAGTGCTTTGGGTACCACCGGCTATCTATAAAAGCAGCTGCATCATCGGTACGTTTTGGGCAACGTACATATTTCAAGCTCTCAGAAACGATGCTTATCCACCTTCCTTGCTTAGTTTTGATAACTCACACTCTTCGAGACGTGGTTGAATTCCTTCAATTCTATATCGTTGCCATTACAAAAGGCAGAGCTATGCCAAACGTTTTGATTAATGGGTTTATTGGCATAAATTTTCAGACGTCGAATTTTTTCCCTTCGATGATCAGCGGTGCAGTCTGACATTTGGCAGTTGGACGGTGAGCTTTGCATTACTTCATTCAAACAGTAGCAGCAAATTGTCAGTTGCTGTGCTGATTCTTCCGCTTTTTCAGAAGGGAAAAATCAGCAGAGTAAATTTCTTTGTAAAAGTTACAATGAACTTATCAGACATGGCATAAAATGGCCTTCACCTCAGCGCATGTCCTATAAAAAAGCAAAAATAGCCCAAAGCAGACATTGGTACATGATAAATAAGATTGAAGTGATTAATAGGAAAGATAACCAAAGTGCATATCGCATACGTAGTTCTGCGAAAAGGCAGTGAAAGGTGCTGTAGTAGGGGCGGAGAATAGAATCAAACAATCCCAACAGCTGCATCCACGACTAATTGTTTCTTTATATGAACGCACACTTCAAGGTTAATCAAAATGTTAATTAAATACTATACAGGGTGCGCCATAAATATGGTAACTACTTTACGCAAGAGCGTAACATCTTTCTTCAACGAATTTTTCAAAACATGATTATTCCATTACATTCGCAATACACCTTAGCTATCAAATCTGGTTTGCAGTGGCTACATCATCAGTTCTCGGAAAATGGTGAAACCTTGTCCTCATCGAGCTGCCATTTTGTCTCTGCGCGATTCTGGTGAACCGATTTCCAAGATCGCTGGTCGCTTCAATATTCCTCGCACGACCGTCCATCGAATTGCGAAGCGCTGGGTTAGTCGATGATAAGCCTCGATCCGGTCGGCCCGTCTCAGTTACGACCCCTCGCTTAAGAAAAATGATCAAGGAAAGACTGCGTCGTGAACCTTGCAGAAGCATGAGAAAAATGGCTGCCGAATTGGGTGTGTCGTCTGCTTCGATGAGAAGAGTCATCCGAGAGCAACTAAATCTTTATCCTTATAGGCTCCGAAAGCTCCACAGCATTTCTGACAAGACGAGGTATGAAAGGAAGACGAAGTGTCGTGCTCTCCCTAAGCGTGGCACGCACCTCGTCACACTTTTCACTGACGAGAAGCTTTTCAGCGTGGAAGAAAAATTCAACCCCCAGAACACACGTATACTTGCCACTTCGAGCCACGAAGCCGATGAAAAAGGTCGAGTCGTTTTTCGTAGCCATTTTGCCTCCTCCGTGATGGTTTGGGCTGGGATATGCGCCACCGGACGTACACCGCTTATTTTTGTTGAAAAAGGAGCTAAAATCAACCAGGATATCTACATAAATGACATTCTCGAAAAGGTACTACCATGGGCCAAAGATCATTTCAAGGATACGGTTTGGACTCTTCAACAAGACGGAACACCAGCTCATAAAGGAAAGAGGACACAAGACTGGTACCGAGAAAATGTACCGGACTTCATTGCTGCTTCCGATTGGCCAGCAAATTCCCCCGACTGTAACAAGATGGACTATTGCATATGGTCTATATTAGAGAGGGAGGCTTGCGCTTC